GAGCATGGTGGTGCGTGCCCATAATCCCAGCACTGAGAAAGGGAGGCCTACCCATTAGCTCACTTGTTTAAGTGCCTGCTTAAGTGAAGCAATCACGCTCAGGATTCTATGGTTCAACCCCCAGATCCTCATGCCTTACCAGACCTGCCAAAGGTATCCTGAACTGGCCAGAAAGAAAAAAAAATCCTTCTAAACTTGAAAAAAAGAAAGAACAAGAGGATCACTATGAGTCCAACCTGCATAGTGAGACCCTGTACCAATTACATAAAAAAAGAAACGGGGGAAAAACAGTTAATTGGGGGAGATGAGGTATACGCCTAATTATCGTATTACTACTGGGGCTAAGGATTACTCAGTGGTATAGTACTCACCTAGTATGTGTGAGGCCTTAGGTATGATCATGACCACTGGTGTTAAAAACAATTCCTACTGAAGGCAAAAGTATGTACTAATGAACCTTTCAAATGTGACTCTGGGTTAGGTATCATTTTATTTTATTTATTTATTACGTATTTGGTTGTTGCAGGGTCTCACGATGAAGCTCTGCCTTAAGTGATCCTCCTGCTTTCAGTCTCCCCAGCACTGGGATTACAGGCATGCACCACCTTGCCCAGACTCTGGTCTGCTCCTTCTGCCCTGGCGGCAGGACTGGTGTTGCATGTGGTGCTGGGGATCAAATTGTGGTCCCTGCGCTTACCTAAGCTTGCCAAAGCACACACTGTAGTCCAATGTGCTATTTCACTGGCCCCTAGATATCATTTTAAGCTTTAGTATCTTCTGTAGTCCCCTCCAGGCTGGCATGTCTACCTACTATGTAGCTTTGGCTGCCTTCAGACTATTAGCTAAGGTTGGCCATGAACTGAAGATCTTCCTGCCTCAGCATCCAGAGGGCTGGGATTATATACAGGTGGTGCCCACATGCCCATCTCAATGTCAAGAACTTTAACATTTAAAAATTTAAACATACATCTAGTAAAAAGAATCAACTGGTTACACAGTAAGTTTTTAGTCTTGCTTTTTTAAATCCCAGGTTTAACATGTTAGGCAAGTGCTACTACTGAGCTATGTCTCTAGCCCTCAGTTTTTTCTTAACGTCTTTATATATCACTAAGGGGTTTTTTGTTGGCTTTTTCAGAAGATCTAACATTAATCACTTCAAAATATTCATGTATAGTGAGGTCTAATCCTTTCATAAAATTTCCGTATTACATGTAAATACACTGGCTCTGCTTGCCAACTATCTGTGAACTGTACCTTGCACTACTGAAGTATGAACAGCAGAATACACCTCTCCTAGGCTCTCAGGTGATAGTATTCAAAATCTGGACAAACTCCTATTGCTTGTCCTGGCTTTGCATATTCCTGATTTTATCTTGTTGCACTGGCCATTAGCAGCAAAACTGTAATCTGTATGAAAGCCTGGTATTTTTCAGGTAAATGTACATTCTATCTGAAGTTTAGTTTTTTGCTCTTAAGTTCACAAAAACTCAGGGATATAAATGGATGCAACTAGAGGCTATAGTCCTAAGTGAAATAAATCAGACCCACATTTGTAAACATATTGTCTCCCTACACTACTAATTTCTACTGGTTTTTTGAAAGTAGCAATTAATGCTTAAAATTTTTACTCTGACGAATTTTATATGCTTATATCTGTAATCTGAGCAACTACATAGAAGACAACAATGTGCAATATAACAATCACTGCTGAATATCTTTCACCGTTTTTTAAAACTATGTATCATTTCAAATGTATATATATTTATTTATTTATTTATTTTTTTCATTTGTGTATTTTGTACAGGGTCTCACTATGCAGATCGGACTTGTGGTAGTCCTGTTTTCAGCCTCCCCAGCGCTGGGATTTTGGGCATGTACCACCATGTCTGGACACTGTTGCCCACTCAGCACATCCTGGGGACAGGGCTGGCCTGGCATATGGGACCCAGGGATCACAGTATGCAGGCCCAGGGATCGAACCTGGTCCCTGAGCTTGCCAAAGCCAGTGCTTAGTCTGCTGAGCTATCTCACAGGCACCCCTTAAAATAAATTTTTGGGGCTGGAGAGATTGCTCAGTAGAATAAGTGCTTGCCTAGCAAGTGCAAGGGACTAAGTTCAATTCCCAGTTCCGCCAAAAAAAAAAAAAAAAATTAATTAAGGTTTATTGAAAGAGCTAATGTTTAATTGATCCATTTTGCATGCGTGTATCTGTAATCTAAGCAACAAATTTGATAACAATATGTAATATAACTATCACTGTTAATTTCTTATTTTTTTTTTGGCTGGCTCAGCCTGCCTTAGGGGTGGGGCTGGCATGGCACGTGGTGCAGGGGATCAAACCGTGGTTCTTTCGCTTGCCTATGCTTGTCTAAGCTGCTGAACTATCTTGCAGGCCCTAATGTCCTATAGTTGCTTTGAAATTGTATACTATTTTTTTCTATACCATTTTTATTGTTCTACATTCCTTTGTTTTTGTCTTTGTTCTTCTTCTTTTCTTTTTTTTTTTTGGTGGGACTGGGGATTGAGCTCAGGCTCTTGCACTTGTGCTTATTCTACTGAGCCATCTCCCTGTCCCTTGTCTTTGTTGTTTTCTTTTTTCCCTCTTCAAAATTTAAAAAAAGAAAAAAAAAAAACACAAGGATAGGCTAATCATCCATTTCAAAGTTTTTAAAAATCTGCAAAACATTAAGACTTAACATTATCAAATTAGTTACATTTACTAAGGATGTTACATTTACCATGCATTACTTCTGAAAGGTAACTTTACTAGACTCCCCTCTTTTTTAGTACCAGTGATTGATCTGATATGTTGTACCACTGAATTAATTCCTCAAACTCCAGCCCTTTTTTGAGACAAGGACTTACTAAGATGCTCAGGTTGGCCTTAAACTCAAGATCCTCCTGTGTTAGCTTCTCAAGTAGCTGGGATCTTAGGCATGTGTTACCATAACCATCTGGTATCTATTTTTTTTTTTTTTTTTTTGCGGAACCAGGGATTGAACTCAGGCCCTTGTGCTTACCAGGCAAGCTTATTCTACTGAGCCATCTCCTTGACTCCCGGTATCTATTTTTTTGACTTTCTGTCTTAGGGTATTATCTAGCTAAGGTTGGCTTCAAATTTACAACCTTCCTGCCTCAGCCTCCCAGTGCTGCAATTATAGGGATATACCACCCTAACTGGCTCTCATGTCTAATTTTTGTCTATTTTTAAAGTAAGACCAAAAAGAATAATTTACTACCAGATATAGTACATAAACTAAGTTAAATAAATGTCAACTCTGGGTATTGTATTGTCTATTCAATTCAGTAAGACTGGGTGTGGTGGCCCGTGCCTGTAATCCCAGTGCTTGGGAGGCTGAAAATAGGAGGATCATTACAAGTCCCATCTATGTAGTAAGACTCTGTAAATCCTACACTAAATACATTAAAAAAAAAAAAAAAAAAGTCAATTCAGTAAACATAGTATATTGGGACTACTCTTTCCTGAAGCTAATCACTTCAAATTTTCACTGGGGAAATAGGGGTTAAAAATGTACCCACACCAAAAAAAAAGTATCTAGCTTAATGCTCATGACCCATTTCAAATTAATATTTGTGTATGTGATGACATGAATTCAAGTTCCTTTATTTCCACACAGACAAAAGGTTTGCTGGGTATGGTAATGTACACCTGCAATCCTAGCACTCAGGAGTCTGAGGAAGGGAGGATCTCAGCAAGTCTGAGGTCAGTGTAGACTACACAGTGGTGAGTTCAAGGCCAGCCGGACCTACATAGTAAGACTGTCTCAAAATACAATAACAAGAGTGGGTGTGGTGGCACATGCCTATAATCCCAGCACTCTGGAGGCTGAAAACAGGAGAATCACTAAGAGTCTGATCTATATAGTGAGATCTTATAGACCCTGTACTAAAACACATTTAAAAAAAAAGGAACAACAAAAAGTCCAATCATCAAAAAACCCCAAAATAAAACTTCAAGGAAAAGTAACTTCATAACTGTTCTGGGAACAAAGACTACTTCAACAGGACAAAAAAAGTATTAACCAGAAAAATAAGTCAATAGTTGAAGTTTACCAAACTAAAGAGTATATAAAGAAGTCCTTGCCCAATGTGGTAGCATTCTGGAAAGCTAAAGTAAGTCGGAGTCAAGCTTGACTTAGTAAGACCCTGTTCCAAATAAATCAATAAATAAATAGATAGGGATTGTGGTGTAGCTCAGTGTGAAGGCCCTGGGTTCAATTTCTTTCTTTCTAGTACAGCCAAAAAAAGAATTCCTACAACTCAATATTAGAAGATAACCATCCTGCTGGAAAGATAAATTTCATGTGTAATAAATAAGGCAAGCTTTCATTTAATTAGAAAAAAAAAAAAGGATAACCAAATTTAAACCAGGCATGGTGGTGAACACTTGTAGTCCCAGCCTAATGGAAAGTGAGGCAAATGGTTAATTGCCTTAAACCTAGGACTGCGGGAATGAACCTATGGCAGGTAAACTTTAGTGGGCAAACAGAGCTGTTTCTGTCACTATGTGAGTCAAGCTGCTCAGTGTTTCTCCAGCAGCTGAGCACTGGATATTCAGGTTTTACTGGAGTGTTGGCACTTTGGCATAAGTGGGTGTTTTGGGTATTTGGTATCTAAAATGTTTGTCATCACTGGTCAAGTAAGAAAAAAAAAAGTGAACAAAAAATTAAGTCTGATGAAAACTGAGTAAATGTTTAAAAGCAAGCTTTCTGTTCTGGGCTGGGGATATAGCTCAATGGTGCAGCACCTGCCCAACAAACACAAGGTCCTAAGATGGATTCTTGGAACAAAAAAACGAAAACAAAAACAAGCTTCTCTACAAGTTTACTTTCTAATAAATTTCAGTATTTATCCAAGCTGGGTAAATGTTAATGACAAAAAGGAACTAGATGAGTTCTAACACAAGTTTGGATAATATAGGCTAACAGGGTAAAGCTATTAGGTCACTTCATCAATTAAAGTTCATTAAAAAGAATTACCTGTTTATATTCATTAATACAACACTGGCAGCAAAACCTCTTCTGCTGACCTCCAATCAGGATACTGTTTCCCATATTTGTATCAGGCATGTACACTCCACACTGTTCACAGCAGTTCATTTTTAGACCATTAACCAACCTGTACTTATTAAAGCAATGGTTACTGCACAGCTTGTGAGTTACATTATTAACACTGACTTCATGGCGAACCTAGAAGAGAAACCAAAATTTATTAACTAAAATACATAGATTAGAATGTAAAATAGGCAATGAAATAGCTAGTTTCTGTACCAGAAATAAAGAACCACTAACTAGTAATTATGTCAGTGAAAGAAATATTCAGCAAAAAGATTAGAAACATATTCATTGTTCGTTCATTTTAATTTGTGAAATGAAGATTCACAAAACAAAAATCAAAATCAGTAACAACTTTCCTGATTGGCTTAGAATGACAGAAAATCAACTATTTTTTTTTTGGCGGAACCGGGGATTGCACTCAGGCCCTTGTGCTTGCCAGGGAAGCACTTATTCCACTGAGCCACCTCCCGGCCTAGATCAG